TATATATATATATATATATATATATATATAGAGTTGTTCTCTTATTTATATCAGCCTTGCGATGATTATTTGGATATGCCAGCGTTGAAATCGCTCGCGACTTCAACTTGTCGTGTTTACATGTCGTCTTTACGACGCATTCTAATAAATGTTGGAGAATAGACGTAAATGACACGAATCTAAACCCGAATCTTTCGCGATACACGTAGTAAAATTGACACGCTTTTCGTGAATGTTTCCGTTCCACCGAACGCACGTCATCGCATGCAAACGAAAAGGGGGGTGGTCAGTCGTGATTTTTCGATATCGCGTGAAATACTTTAATCGACGAGCGATAATCATTCGCGGTGAATATCAAGGATATCGATAGCTGACCGGATATCAAGCCACGATAGCGATACTTTAATGAGGCCACGTGCAACAATTCGAGGGCCATCAAGATCTTGAATCGATCGTATCAAGATCGTATCATCAAACGAAACGCGAACTTTTTACGTTTTATGTGAGCTTGTCCGTTTACTTTGTCATTTTAATAACTTGGCTTTCTTAGAGAGATACGAAGAACAAGGAGATGCTGTTTTGTTATTCATTTGATTTACCTAGGATTCAGTACGAGCTGGTTACACCAAAGCTGATTCCAAACACTGATCGGATAAGGTATAATCGGCCAGGGTAGAATTTTTTCTACCTTATTCTTGTCCGCCATTTTGAGGAGATTTCGAGGGGGGTTGTTTTACTGGCGTCAGTACATGTTATACACAGTTGGCCGACGGTTTATCTTCAGACGCTTTGTTTTCCTCTGTACTTCTTTGCCACTAATATCCGTATATAATTTAAATTTCCTTATCTGCACAATTAACTCCGATAACTGAATTTCAATCCAAGAGTTCCTCTTTTTCGTCACTTTGTCCCTTCTTTATTTCAGCTTCGTTCTTTCCCTAACAATCCACTCGATAAAAGAATTGACGGTATATTAGATATGTTTAATTATGTCCCGATTATCTTTGCTTTCTCGCACGCGTTCAATAATGTTGCTTTCCTTCCGTGATCCTATCCGTCTCAGTACGCGATATTCTCTCGAGGCTGCTCTTTTTCACTGATTTCCCACGTTCGTCACATAACACTACCGTGTAATTCGTCGCGTTTTCGGGACAGGAAAATTGTGCAAAACGCGATTAAAAACTGTTTAGGAGGTATTCTCTCGTGGAGTGGCACGGGAGTCGGGTGAGGGACTCGAAAAGGCTGCCGCCTCCTTTTCGAAGCTGCTGAAGGACTCTTCTTGTAGTTTTTGAGTATCCTCGACGAGCACTTGACGACTAGTGTGTTCCCTACCTCCGTGCAGTTTCCCTCGTCAAGCACCCTCGAAGTACGGGGCGGTTCTCTGGCACGGAGGCGGAGATTTCTCGTTCATCCCCGACTAGCTCGCTCTATTCCCACCCTGCCGGCGACACCCGATGGTGAATTACGGAAACGTTCCCCGCGGGAGAAGCTTGGAATGAGAAAACGGCCGTTCTCGCCGCTCCTTTACCGTCTCGTCAGTTGTCGTCTCGTTTCGCTCGAACGAAACGTCCGATTATTTATATCACGTATTTCGCTCGCGAATAGTTGGGCACAATTTGAAAATTCGAGGTCTGACAATCGGACAAATCCGTAAAGCGATTCGTTGAAAACCGCAGGTCAAATTTGCGTCCTCAACTTGACCGGGTCGGACTGTTATAGAATTTTTGATCGCTTCCTTTCGTCCCAGCACGATTGCAAATTCAGCATCAACACTGATTAAGTCAACATTCGGAATATTTATTTTGACTGTTGACGGTTTCACGTTCAATTAAATGAGGTGTACAGCTAACGCGATCCACAGACTCGCCGCCCAGAGTCTCGCTCGCCGCTCGGAGCAACCTTCGACGAAGAGGGTAACCCTTGTTCGCGGGACTCGACGCGACTGGTAACGTTACCGGGCTATGTTACCAAGGGGTGGTGCCGTCGCTCGACCAATGAGACGGTCTCATGTCGGGGAAACCCTCGGCCGACAGTCCGGGGGTTGATTTCAATCCTGCCGGGCTAGCGGGCCAATCGTCGGGCTTCATCGATCAGGGCTTTTTACACCGAGAGCATACTTTACGTCGAGTGTTAATGTGAAAGAGCATTAGCGGTGCTTTTACTGTGTCATTTCGATTTTTCACCGCTCCCTTTCTCGCCCTGCCCTCTTTCTCTCTCTCTCTCTCTCCCCCCCGTCCTCTTCCTTTCGCCTCTCCATCCCGCTGCCACCGGCACTCAGATCGCCGTCTATTGATACGCAAAACTGGGTTAGAGAAGCCCGGTCGCGACTTACGACCGAGTGTTACGCAGACGTAAACGGGATCGCGCGTATGATCGACCAGCGCTGTCCTCTTTTAGGGGTTCGTTTACTTGTGGACGAGAAGCCAAAAAAGGTGTAAATTGGAGTATATTCGAAGGGAGTGATTCGAGTCGGCATTTTCATTCTTCTCTTTGGACCTCAATATTTCATTTAACACTTACTTTATACCAACCTCTTTTCATTCTAAACTGCTAGCTTTGCCAAGAGATCCTCTTCAGAAGAGCCAAGTAGAACTTGAGTTTCCATATGTATTAAATATACAGACATTGGTTCTTCAGAATAAATAAATGTTGGTGAGTTATTTTACAAGTTAGTTTAGAAAGGACTTTTCGACTTTTAATCGCCCCCTTCGATGGAGATAAATTTGATTTATCATGAGGCGTGTCTCGAACAAACCAAGTTTTCCTCCGTATTGTTCGTTAATTAATTTAACAAGCAGGTAATGTGTGAAATATGTCTGAGAGACGTCTAAAAGACACCCAAAATACGTCTAAAACAAGGAAGATATCTTTTGTATACCTCTCTTAGATATTTATACTGTTACTGGGTAAAGTTGTATGGATTCTTTTTCCGAGTAGTAAACCAAAAAGTAGGCTACAGCGGCTAATTTTATAGCGAAGCGTTTATTACGCGCGTGACAATCCGTGACTATCGGTTCTTTTTCCACGATAATCGTATTCGCGCGCGCGCGCGCGCGACAAGAGGAGAGAAAGAACACGTCGGCGCCACACATTCAGGTGACCTGATTTCTTTTTGTACGCCACCCACTTATTATTCGCAGACACGCATTTGTTACGTCGGTCACGGAGCAGTAAAGCGCGTTATTTTGCGATTATCGCGAATACGGCGGACGTGTATCATCCGTCGGAATTACGCGCGTAAAAATAATTCCGCGATGCGATCGGATTGACGTGACCTTTTTTCGCGACGGTTGTCGATGTGGTCGATCACAGATAAAACATTATCGCGGTAATGTCCGCGTTGCCATATTATACGCATTGCGCACGATGCTATTAATTGCCGAAGGTGAAAGATGTCGAAATATTCCTGATGATAATCAGCGAGAAAGCGACGCGACTGATTGCATCCTACGCAAATTTCGCAAAATCAAAGAAAGAACGAAACATCTGATATTTATGATATTTATGATATTTATGATATTTATGATGCGGCAGTCTCTTTTTACAGTCTCCGTTTCTTTCAAACGGTGTCGTTTGCACTTTGAGGAGATGTTTAGGTAGCTCATTTATACAACGATTGACCACACCTTTGATCTCCGGAGCGAGTCGACTATCCAAAGTAGACGATTTGTCGGAATCGCGCGTCTCGCTGAATAGAATCGCAGGTTGTATCCAATCGCGAGAAAAGTAAGAAGGAGAGAAAGAGTGCGCATTTGAGCGCAGGCACTCAACAATAAACGCACACGCGTACCGACGAAAATGAGGGTTCCGAAGTCGCGCGATTCAGAAGCAGAGGAACAGGTAAGGGACAGGGCCGACGATGGAGCGAGTTTCCGGTTTATTCAAAGCTGCCTCTATACAATCTCTCGGGTCTTCGCACACTGAGAAAGTCAAAAACTACGGAAGAGGGTCGTCCCGACTTTTCTGATTTTTTCATAGCCGGCTTCTGGAATTTATCGTCGCGAAGACGAAGAAATTCCTGTCGGAAACTGCGACCGCTGTATTTTCCAGCGATCGAGAAGCTAAAAGATAGTTAAGATTTTAAGTCACCTCTTTACTCGGCAACCTCTATACAGATGCAACGTATTACACATATATTACGATCATATTTATGCGTGGTGTTTGTCGACAATGCAATTATTTTAAAGGTAAGAACAAGTAATTTGGATAGAAATATTGTTGTTTATGCTCAGAGTTTATTTTGAAAGAAGGGAAGAAGGGTCTCTTTCTCTCTCTTTCGCGCGCGCGCGCGTGCATCATGATGTATACCACAGGTGATCGATATCAGTGTTATAACACCGATAAGAATTGATCATTTTAAACGAGACATTTTTATCGAGACACGAGGTATCGACATACGTCGACAAATTATTTACAGTTTCGTCGATATCGTTTACAAGAGCGGCGCGGTGAAGAAGGGCTCAGACAAGATAGGGCGTTATTGCAGGTGCATCGTCTAACTCGGTTAGAGTCGTGTGTTGGACGAAACGAAGAGAGGTAAGAGAGAAAGAACCGATGTAGGAGGAGAGGGAGGCACCCCGTGAGACGTTTGTCGTTTTTCCTCGATTTCGCCTCTCCTCGACCCGCGCCCGTCCAGGAAGTCCCGAGCGTCGGCGGGAAAAAATGGAGGAGTCTCGAGCTCCGGGCAATCGAGCAACATTTGCCGTGCTCCCACGACTGTTTGGCGATAGCTGTGCCAACTTGTTTCGAGCACGCAACCCAATTTGTCTGCGTCTCATTGTTTTACTGCCTCGGCCGTTGCTTCGCAGTGTCGTTGCTCTCTCTCTCTCTCTCTCTCTCTCTCTCTCTCTCCCCCCCCCCCCCC